GGAGGGCGGGGCTCCCCGCCGAAGGCGGCCGTGCGTGCCCCTGCACAGTGCCCCGGCGGGTGAGTGCGCCAGCAGGGGGCGCCCCTGCCTGGGGCTGGGGTCTTGCCCCGGCCTGGAGGGTTTGGGGGGCACGGTGGGTGGTCCCTTGACTCTGGTGCTGCCCCAGCCTGGCACCTGCCCCCTGCACGGGGGATTTGGGGTTGTGCCCTTTTGTTGTGAGGATGGGTGGCTGTGGTGTGGCGGGGGTGCTGGAGGGATTGGCATCCACCGATTGATTTCTGTATTTGGATGGGATCGATGTCGGGCTGCCAAGCCTGGAGTTAGCTGCCATGCTTAAGGGGGAAGGAAAAAGATCTCGGAGATGTTAAATCCCTAAGACTTGGCCGGACTGCTTGGGGGGTGGGAGGCAGAGCTAGAAAAGAGCCCGCGGGCGGCTCGGCTCGTCGTGGCTGTCCAGGGTTTTTCACTTCTCCAGAGCATAAAGAGAAAACCCTTTGCGCCGAATGCCATCGCATGCTGTGGAGGGAAGGGGAAGGGGGCCGTGCGGGGTGGCTCTGAAACGGTGGCAGCGTTGGAAACATCATCGCCGTGTGCTTCCGCTGGTTCATATCTGTGTTCCTCAGGAACGCTTTACCCTTTGTCCTAGGCGAAACACGGGCCCACAGAGCCTTGCTTCTCCGCGTCCGGCAGCAGCATTTTATCTTCTCTTTTGTCCTCTTCGGTACAACGCAATCTGATGTCTCGTCTCATCAAGTCTAATTCCATCCTCCCTAGGAATCGTTGAACCGTGTGAGTAAATTTTAGTGGCGATTCTGTGCCATTTCTGTCTTACCTCTTTCTGGGTAGAAAGCCAACCCCGATTTTCAGTCTGTGAAATTTAGGATTTAAAGTGTTCTGCAGTTTCAGTGACAGCCTGTCAAGATCGGGGCTAAAAGGGAGGCTGTCACGGTGTGTCTAATAAAATCGATCCCATCAGAACAATTTATCGATCATTCTTTTGTAGAGTGGAGTTCAAACGGCTGCCACAGATTCACTGTTTTGAACCTTCTTCTTCATAAGTGTTGTTTAGAAACAAGTTTCTGAAGTAACCTTAGCTGATGACTGCAGGCCAGTTCCAAGATTGCATTAGTTTTTCTAGTCCAAAAACTTTCCAGAGTGAACCAGTGACCCGACCCTGTTTAGCTGTTGTAGATGTAACTTGATCTTTTGAAATGTCAGCAGGAGAAAAGTTTTTACTATATTAATTCTCTGGTTTATTAAAACAAGCTGTTAGAGACTTTCAAACATCTGGAAGTAGAGGGAAGAATTTAAAATAGATCTAGGGGCAGATTTTTAAGACACAAAAGTCAGTGTGGTACTTGGCACTCTTTGGAAAGTTATGTGCCCAACTGCTCTGTGCCTTAGAAACATCTTTCTTTTGGATTTTAAATGATGCAAAAGCTTGTTTTTTTAATAGAAAGATAAGATTGCGTGAAATACATAAGCAGCTGAAATGTATGAAAATTAAATGTATTTAGTCCTAACTCAGAACATGCAGACCAGTCTTAATTTAGTTTACAGTTTAATTATAAAATGTCTTTCATTATCAGAGCTCCTTATTGAGAACCAAAGTTGTAAATCATAATTTCATTTTCTTTAGAACTTGTAATATTACAGTTAGTGTGGGGTGTGTGTTTTTTTTATTTCCTGGGCAGCATTAAATGCTGATGTAACTAGCATGTGCATGTGTGCGCATATATATGTACATAATTGCCTGTTTCTGTTGGGCAAGGCTGTATTTCTCTAGCCCAGTCAATACTTGAAATATTCTTTTGAAACTAAATAGGATATTAGCCATCATTGGCGATCAAGTCTGTTTATAGTCACATCAGATTATGAGCATACACACTTTTCTGAGCGTCTCTGAACCAATTTGTTACGCAATTTTTAGTAGAACACACTTTATTCATGTACATGTAGTTTTTTTGGCTTTAAGGGATATGTAGTATAGTGGTCGTGCAAGACCTTCATAAAGTTCTTACGGCCTCAACATTAGAATTTATTTTTCTTTATTTCATGGGGGATTCTGGTTTGAGAAGTCTCCTTATTTCAAGACATACCAAAGCATCTATAATTTCCATCTGAAACCCAGTAAATTAATTTTTTTTAGTAAACTTTCATGAAAAGATGTTATTTCTAAAAGCACTTCTCTGCCATCTGCCAATAGAGCATGCTTGTATTTGGTACAAATCCCAGTGTGAAGACCTGATGTCATGACAGGTTGGTTCCACATTAAAGCCACTACCTACATCATCAAAACAGGGTTGAAAATTAACTATTGTAAATATTCTTATACATTTCTGTAAAGCTTAAAATGTTGATAGGCTGAAAGAAGGAAGTTTCCAACCTGCACTTAGCTCAAGAAGCACTGGCTGACTTCTGTATCCAGCAACAAAAAAAGTGGATGCACCTTTCTATTCTAAGGTCCTTGTCTGACAAACTGATATAGTTACTTAGTCTGTCTTGGCCTCAGTGACACTAATGTGACTCTGGCAGATATTTGTTCTGACTTCTGTAAAGCTTTAATGGAGCAGTTTCAGATGGAAGTTGTAAAAAGTTTAGTTTTGTGGGCAATATTGCTCATTATAAAGCTTGTGGGGATTTTGGATCACTAGCTTTGTCCCCCCTAAGTACACTTCTATTTGCTGTCACTATGAAAGTATTTGTTTATTTGTCCCTATTGAAATTCTAAAATAGCATTGATATAAGCATGTTGTTGCCTGTTTTAATACATTTTGAAACATTAGTTTAGTCTAAACTGGCATCTACTTTTGCTTGAGCAGATCAAAATTGTTTAAAGCCATTTGTGGCCAGAGGAGTTGCAAAGCATCTTAGCACTCTCCTGAGATGAGTCCTCAACAGCTCTGAACTCCGTCCAGCTTTCTCTTTCTGTTCTGACAACAGCTTTTGTCTTGCCATCAAACAGGTGAAAGGAGTGTAACTGCGTACCTCTGTCCATTGATCAGCGTAACAGCAAAATTGAAGCAAGAGATATATAGGCACTGTTGTCTCAGTTTTCTCCCATGGTTTCTCCTATGCCATGCCATGCCAATCTCAAAACACTAGACAGAACTCAACCCCATATAGCTAATGCTGTTAACCTCAGTTGGAACTTGATTTCACCCCTGAGGTATAAATTTTAGCTTGTCTGTCAGTTTAAGAAAGAATAAGATTTATTAATTTGATTATTGTGGCATCTTTAGTGAAGTGATCAGTTCTTCTTTATATGGGGAGGCACTAGCCAGGGATGCCAAGGAAACTGTTTAAACACCACTTCCTAGAAAAACAGTGATGCTGTTTTTATGACTATAATTATTTGGAAGTAGGAGATGGTACCATAAAGGCTGGATTAAAATAGAGTATGTACAGGTCATTGGTAAAATTTTTAACTATTCTGGAGATAAGATCTGATCGCCATGGAACTCCACTAGAAACACAGCCACTTCCTCATGATTCCCCAGTTACAGTTACATTTTGAGACCCGCCTGTAAGTCTTGTCTTAATCTATTTAACATATCTGTGCTTATTATGTGTGACTTCTTAATTCTAAATTCTAGACTGCAAAGTTGTTGGTATCACATAAAAAGGCCTTACAGAAGTTGAAGTCTGTTACATCATTATCTGTATCAACCTCCTAAAAAGGATTATGTATCACATTAGTTTAAAAGGGATGCACAATCTTCCTTTAGGAATGACTTCTTAAGAGACAAGAATGATTCTTGAGAGAATCCACTATTTTATTAATGTACTTCTCAGACGTAGGAGTCCCAGGTTTTATTTGAAGTTTATCTGGTAAATTAGGCAATGGGAAAAATATTTGAAAGGCACTTGTTTAGTTCTTTGACAGAGCTCAAAAACACTCTTCCCACAGTTCTCTGGACAATACATTGTAGGAGAGAGTAAAGGATTTTTCCACCAATATTTTTTCTCTGCTGAATCTCACTGAGTCAGTTGTATGCATCAGTTTAAATGATCTGGAAGCCCAGATTTTCATTATTCAGTTCATTTGAATTGTAAATAAAAGACCATTGTGTCAGGTCAGGACTGCAGAAGCAGCTCCTTCCTTCTGTGAAGAAATAGATGAAAGGCGACTCTTTCAAAGCAGAAGTTGTTTGCAAGCAGAACAGGAAATAATTAAGTTAGTATTGCTTATGCCCTCATGGGGAAAAATGAATCTGAATGTATTGTATCAAGCTGCATTTGTAATTGAAGAGGAAAACATTGAAATGTTTTCTGAATACCTTATAAGTTGCCTCCTTCCTTTTCTTGAATGCTTGTGTTAAGCTGAAAGTCCTCTTACAACAACCCTGAAATAATCATGCACGTAAATTCAGATATACAAAGGATGAGAAAGAAATGTGTGACTGTTATGGTGCTCTGATGGCAGATTTAGCTTGTGGGTGGGGAGGGGAAATGAACCAATACAGATTATTCTGCGTCTGACTAACATGCAGACTGGTCAGCACCAACTAGTTCAGCCCTCACTTGTCAGTGGCAGTTATATATTAAAAAGGCAATTTCGATGCCATCGATTGTAAAACAAGGTAGAGTGCTTTGAATGGAGTGATTCACATTAGCTGTGTCAAAGAGACCTGCTCTTCAGGAGTGAGGATACAGCTGCTCAGAATCTCTCTCAGCTGGAGTTCGTCGGGTCCATGTCTGTACTTGAGGGGAAAACAAGGTAAGGAAATTGTAGAGCTCAGAACAAAGTTTCAGGTGCTGTTCACATGGCACACTGGCTGTACACACGGGCTGATCACAGCGGTGATGTTCTTTTATCCAGTTACACCAAGTAGGAATACATCTTAAAAGGTGTAAAAAAAATACACCTACTGGTTAAGATAACCTTTACTTTTTGACATCTTTTTTAATTTTGAATGGCTTTGATCTTTTACAGGTTGTTCGGAATTGAATGTCATATGTAGGGTCTTGGTCCAACAGTGAATTTCTTTTTGTAAGTTTTGAAAAATGGATTTAGTTTTGATTACAGCGAAACCATCCCCAAGTTGGCAACCATGTTCAGCACAATTTTGTTACTTTTAGAAGCACTTCTATTCAGGAGTTAGTTTCTGTTGTCCTTTGAGTAGTTTGTTAAGCAAAGCTTGCCGAGTTTCAAACCAGTCCAGCTTTTCAAAACTTCTAAGGAAAAAGTCATTCTTAAAGATTGTGCATCCTTTTAAAACTAATTTTATACATAATCCTTTTTTACGAGGTTGATACAGATAATGATTCAATAGACTTTAATACTCTAAGGCTTAAAAGCTTTAATACTCTAAGGCTTTTTATGTGATATCACACAACTTTGTAATTAAGAAGCTAGAATTAAGAAGTCATACATAATAAGCACAGACATGTTAAATAGATTAAGACAAGGCTTACAGACAGGTCTCAAAATGCAACTCTAAATGGGGAATCATGATGAAGTGGCTATGTTTTTAGTGGAGTTACACAAGGATCAGTTCTTGTCTCAAAATTAGTTAACAATTTTACCAATGATTTGGAAGAAAACATCAAATTATTACTGATAAGTTGCAGGTGACATAAAGATTGGTAAATTATGAAGAGGAACAGGTCAGTAATGCAGAGTGATTGGATTTGCTTACTAAGCTTATCTCAAACACGTAGTATGTGCTTTGTACATAGCGTGGCCAAGTGTAAAAGCTTTATACACCTAAGAACAAAGAATTCAGGTCATACCAACACGGTGGGAGCTCTGCCCTGGGACAGTGAGTTGGAAAAAATCTTGGG